AAATTTGAAAAACAGTATGTGAGCATGTAAATAGAGTATCCAAAAGCACTCACACAAGGGGCAGAGTATGGCTGCATGTGCAACTGACTGAGGCTTGAAGCCAATGGATTTATTTTCTTACCATTGTATTTGTCAGTGGATATTTATTTATATCCCAGGGTGCAGTAAGTAATCCTGGACTGCATGATTTGTATTTTAATTTTGTAATAGATTCCTACGGTATAATATGAATGCATAGTGAGATTTAAAATAATCCTAAAGAGAGAGAGAAAATTCCTGACATCAGGATTTAGCTGTGCAACTTCAAGATTCTTGAGTTGTTGTTTTTTTTTAATTGTTATGGCATGAATACCTAGCACATGGAAAATGGTGGATTTAGCAAACAATGTTTTCAAATCAGCCAGTAGCAAGTAAGGCCATAGTGCCTAATAGGAGTTCTTTGTGAAAGTAGAACTGGAAATGTGAGTGGGTTATACAAACTTTTACTTCTTTAAAAATAGCTCCTCTTTTCCCAAGGGAACATGATTGCTTATAATTCTGAATGCCAGATTCTGATGACAGGATAGATATGGTTATATAAAGATTGGCAGTTACATTTGATTGTGCTTTACTCATTTTACTCTGTTGGGTTTTTTAGACGAACCTGAGGGGGAAAAAGCAGTATTCGATCTAAAAAGTAGAAGGGAAGCAATTTCTTCAACAAAACACAGGATACTGGAAGGTTGAAAAAGCAGTGTTTTTCTTATCAGATCAGCCACTGAAAGAGCATATGGAATCCTGCTGAGATATTGGTGTCAAAATTCATGGGGAGTTTCATTTTTTTGAAACGGTCAGTTTTATTTTGTTCTTCTTACTTCTTTATTCGAATAAATATGTTTTGTTCTTATCTGTGCTTCTCTTCTGTATTCACGTGTCTCCTCAGCACCTTACAATAAAAAGAGCTGGTTTACAGCAACCAGTCAACCAGCTGCTGAACTAAACAGAGGTCTTTAATGCAATCTTCAAACATAAGGCTCAGACTCAGAACTTCCAGGGGCAGTGAATGACGTGCACGGAGAAGACAAAACTTCCAAAAAGCTGAGTGAGTGAGCAGATAACAGCCATGCTTGGAAAGTCACAGGGCATGTCTACACAGCCTGTTGAAGCAAACCTCCCAGCCCAGGTTGACAGATTTTGTGTCCACCTCTCTCTCTAGGCTTCAACCCCCAAGCTGCAACTTCAACGCGCTGTCTACAGAGCTATTTTTAAAGCACTAGTGGGAGCCCAGCTACCCCAAGCCTTTTGAGCCAGGCTGAGAGGCTCACTTCCAAGAGCTATGTAATTATACTCACTGTGGTCTTAGCAACAAAGGGAATGTTTGGGAAAGAAATAATGCCTACCCTAGTTTTTAATACTATACAATGAACTGTGTGAAACTAATAATTTAGATAAACTTACAGTATGAATCCTGAAGCCCCGACTTAGGCAAAATCCCTATTGACTGTGATAGAAGTTTTGCTCGATTAAAGATGGCAGGACTTCCCCAGAAACAGTATTGTTCCTTGTTTGTTTGTTTACAATACTTGGCCGTTCCTAGCACTTCAAGCCTGGTACAGCAACTAGGTGGAAATCAGGACTTGGTTGTGTTAAGTGCCCATCACAGTAGCTGGCCACAATCATGATGTAAGCAGGGTCTGAATGAGGTCTCACCTGACAGCTAGCTGGGAGGGGGAGGGACTTCAGGAGCAAACTGTACTTACATGAACACACCTACTCTGCCAAGATATCCACAAATAGAGCTGTGTTGCTCAAAGTGATCAACTTTGGCTATTGTTGGGTTACATATCACTTTAGTACAGAATGCAGGGGCAGTGAGATGTTATCAATGTAATCTTTATTGTCTGAGTAAAGGGGAGCAGAACTGTGCTTAACCTATCCCAAATGAGGGAGTCACCCTCATCTGAAGGGAACTTGCTAAACCAGGGGCTCGAATGCTAGAGCCTTATGCAAAAAAAGGGGGGTAGAGACAAGTGTCCCAGCTAGGAGCTGTGGATTCTCCCTAAGGGTCCCTTGTCTGGTTTAACCTGTTCCTCCCCACTGTTCTGAGATAGAGCTAAATAAGCTCTATTAGGAATCTTTTGTTATTTTAAGTGCTCAATAGAGCTGAAATCACTTGTGGTGGGACAGCATTTCCTCCTAGCCTGCTTCAGCTTCTCACCACTAAGAACTGACAATCACTGAGTTGTGTGGAACCTCAAGAGATTGACTTGCAGAGGTCACAGCAGAGAGGCAGCTGGCGAGTTGGCCAGCGGAGACGAACGAGTGGCTGGCAGGGTGACCAGTGGAGCGGAATGGCGGCTGGTGGAGTGGCCAGCCAGCCAGAACCAGTGTTCAGATGGCAGAGCAAGCAAGGCACCTTCTTCCACAGGTGCAAGGTGAACTCACACAGATGCACCTCTGACACCTGGGTCCTCACTGACCAAGAACAACCACTGTGAGTGGGGTATGGTGAGGGAGCAGAGAGGGGCACAGTAAAGGAACTTTTGATTATAGAACTCAAGAACATGAGGCAGAATGCATTGCCTCACACACTCTGGAGTGGGTGTTCTGCTCATAGTTTTGTTTATGAATCCTACTTGCGACATTTTCCCTAATTAATGTCGGGTGACTTCCCTCCTTTCTTTAAAAGTTTCTTTTCTACACTCAGACTCTGTGCTTGCAAGTAGAGACGTTTTGCCTCTCAGAGACGCCCAGGGATAGTGTGTAGTTTTCCTAGGTTACTGGGTGGGGTCTGAAACTGGCTCTGTGCTGTATTGTTGAAAAGGAACCCCTAGATACTGAACCTGGCCCTGGTAGCTGCCAGCTCCACCTGGCAGAAGAGTTACAACTGACTTGAAGAGACTTTAATATTGACTATACATAAGCAACAAACTGCTTGCAGAATGTGATATTCTTGCTTCCCAAAGGCTCTTAGAAGGTTCCTAGTCTGGAAAAGACAACTGAAATATTTTATCATCTTACATCATACTCCTCTTAGTTATGAGGAGAGATTAATAAGACTGGGACTTTTCAGCTTGGAAAAGAGATGACTAAATTGGGATAGGATAGAGGCCTATAAAAGTGTGAAAGGTGTAGAGAAAGTGAATAAGGAATTATTTACTCCTTCACATAACACAAGAACCAGGATCACCCAATGACATTATAGGCAACAGATTTAAAATAAACATAAGGAACTGAAGTTTTTCTTACAATAATGCAAAAAAGGAAGTATTTCATCACATAATACACAGTCAAGCTGTGGAACTCTTTGCCAGATGTTGTGAAGGCCAAGACTATAACAGGGTTTATAAAAGAACTAGGTAAGTTTATAAACAAACTAGGGACATGCAACCTCGATGGAGCGACTATAAGGAGGGTGCGTAACTGACTGGAAAACCGTTCCCAGAGAGTAGTTATCAGTGGTTCACAGTCATGCTGGAAGGGCATAACCAGTGGGGTCCCACAGAGATCAGTTCTGGGTCCAGTTCTGTTCAATATCTTCAATTATTTAGATAATAGCATAGAGAGTGCACTTACAAAGTTTGTGGACGATACCAAGCTGGGAGGGGTTGCAAGTGCTTTAGAGAATAGGATTATAATTCAAAATGGTCTGGACAAACTGGAGAAATGGTCTGAAGTATACAGGATGAAATTTAATAAGGACAAGTGCAAAGTACTCCACTTAGGAAGGAACAATCAGTCGCACACATACAAAATGGGAAATGACTGCCTAGGAAGGAGTACTGCAGAAAGGGATCTGGGGGTCATAGTGGATCACAAGCTAAATATGAGTCAACAGTGTAACACTGTTGCAAAAAAAAGCAAACATCATTCTGGGATGTATTAGTAGGAGTGTGGTAAGCAAGACACGAGAAGTAATTTTCCCATTCTACTCCGCGCTGACTAGTCCACAACTGGAGTATTGTGTCCAGTTCTTGGTGACACGTTTGAAGAAAGATGTGGACAAATTGGAAAAAGTTCAGAGAAGAGCATCAAAAATGATTAAAGGTCTAGAAAACATGACCTATGAGGGAAAATTGGGAAAAAAAATGGGTTGTTTAGTCTGGAGAAGATTAGAGTGAGAGGGGCCATGATAACAGTTTTCAAGTACATAAAAGATTGTTACAAGGAGGAGGGAGAAAAATTGTCCTCAACCTCTGAGGATAGAACAAGAAGCAATGGGCTTAAATTGCAGCAAGGGAGGTTTAGGTTGCACATTAGGAAAAACTGCCCGTCACAGTGGTTTAGCACTGGAATAAATTGCCTAGGGAGGTTGTGAAATCTTCATTGGAGATTTTTAAGAGCACGTTAGAGAAACAACTATCAGGAAGGGTCTAGATAATACTTAGTCCTGCCATGAGTGCCGAGGACTGGCATAGATGACCTCTGGAGGTCCCTTCCAGTTGTATGATTCTATGGAGGATAGGTCCATCAGTGGCTATTAGCCAGGATGGGCAGGGATGATGTCCCAACCTCTGTTTGCCAGAAGCTGGGAACGGGCAACGGGATGGATCACTTGGTGATTCCCTCTGGGGCACCTGGCATTGGCCACTGTCGGCAGACAGGATACTGGGCTGGCTGGACCTTTGAGTGACCCACTCTGGCTGGTATGTTCCGAAACATTCACACAATGCAGCCAGCCTGAGGCACCCACTGCCCGCAGACCGTGCGAACGCAGAACTATAGTTTGGTTAAAACCATTCGCTCTGTCCCAGGGGGACAGGTCCAGCCACGGCTGTTAGCGAAGCTGCTGAGGGACGCGACCCCCCGCCCCGGGTGCCCCGAGCCGCTGCCTGCTCGCAGCTGGGAGCGCAGTCGCTTGCCCTGTCACTGGGCACTGGCCTGCGTCCCACAGGCTACGGGGCTGACTGCCCCCTGGGCCTGACCCCGCCCCGCGCACGGAGCGCGCCCAGGCGGCTCCAGCCCGGCGGGGGGAGGGAGTGGCTTGTGCGCATGCGTACAGTGGCGGAAGCCCGCGCAGACCCCATCCTCGCGGCTGAGATCGGGGGAGTGGAAGGAGCCTGGGCGTGGCGGCGGCTGCGCAGCCGCAGTGGGCGCGCTCGGGGCGGCCCGCCGAAGGAGGAGCCGGTAGCCCCCCCATGCAGCAGGAGGGGGTAGAACTCCTCTGTTACGGGACGTCCTCGCCAGAGAAGGAATCCTGGGGTCCAAGACGCGTCACGTGTTGGAGTATCACGTGACTGGCGTGGCTACCGCCCTGGAAAAGTCGGTCACGTGGCGGGGAGGGGTCATGTGACCTTGTGGCCGTTGGGCGGCGCGCGCCTGCCTCGGGATGGCGGAGGAGTCTGCGGAGGATTGGCTGCTGGAGTCCTTGCGGCTGTGAGTGCCCCGGGAGCGCCCCGAGACCCCGGCCGGGCCCTGCCCCCTCCCCCATAGGCCCGGGGCTCGAGCCTGTGGCCCGGTCGGGTCACGCGCCGTCTCCGGGAGCGGGAGGGGACCAGCCATTGCCCCCGCCCCCAGAGCAACCTGCGCGGTGCGGGCCAGGTGCGGGGCCACACTGGCCTTGAGCAAGTCACTTCACTGCTCCGTGCCTCAGTTTCCCCATGTGAATAACGGGGCCAATGATACTGACCTCGGTGGTATGGCGCGTTGAGCGCTACAGACGGGAAGCAGAGATAAGCAACGATCGTTATCCGCACCATCCATAACCCATGGAATTAAAGACTTGCCTGTGAGAGAAATTGCCTTCTCTGTGGGCTGGTCTAATGCATAGGTGCTGGGGGTGCTGCTGCACCCTCTGGTTTGAAGTGGTTTCTATCATGTACCGGATTTACATATTGGTTCAATGGCTCTTAGCACCCCCACTATACAAATTGTTCCAGTTCTAATGCTTTTTTTTTTTGCTTTCAGATATAATGATTTGCATGTGTTTGAGCTCCAAGAGCCGACAAGAGTCATTGAATGGATAGGAGAAAAAAGTGAGTCATTTCACTTGTGTTTGCTTGGCAAAATTAGTAGCTGTTTTCAGAACTCAGTGGCTCCCGTATTTATTTCTGGGTGAATTTAGTGCTGGTGAAAGTGGCCCGTTTAATAGCCCTGGAGAGATGAACTTTTGTCAGTCCACAGAAATAGGTACAGCACTGGCAAATACAGCATATATTTCCAGAAGATTCCATGGAAAGATTTTGGATGGGCCATCTGCTAATTAATCTGGAGTGAGACAAGTTGGGTGAATAATATTTTTTGTTGGACCAGCTTCTGTTAGTGGAAGGTACACACTTTCAGATCTAGGGTGACCAGATGTCCCGATTTTATCGTGACAGTCCCGATTTTAGGGGCCTTGTCCCGCGTCCCGACCTTACATTGGTCAGGACGCACTTTGTCCCGATATCGGGGGACCGTCTGGTGGACGACGCAAGCTGGCACTGCCGGCGCCGCTCACCGCTTCCTGGGCCCTGAGGCAGCTCAGCTGAACTCCTAGCGCCTGCCTGCCGGCAGGAGCCTGCAAAGTGCTGCAGCCCCACTCCCCAGGCACGCACAGAGACGGCGAGGAGGTCTCCACTGTGTGCTGCAGGGGCGGGAGGGCTTGTAGGCGCCGGCAGCGAGCCTCTCGACCCCCCCCCCCCGACCCGACCTGAGCAACCTTAGGAGCCAGAGGGACAGGACCTGCCTGCTGGATGCTCCCTGGGAGCCGCTCCAGGTAAGGCTAGCACTGCCTGGGACTCACCTGGCTCCCTGGCAGGTCCCTCTGGTGGGGGGGGGCTCTGCGTGCTGCCCTCCTCCGTCCCCGAGGGGGGAGGTGGAGACGGAGCAGAGGCCAGCTGGTCGGGGGCGGGGTGTGGAGCTGCCGGTGGGTTCTCAGTTTTTCCTGTGCTCCGGCAGTTTTTTTTGTTTTTTTGTTTTGCTCCGCCGCCCGCTTGTTTTTGTTTTTTTATTTTTTGCTCCGTGGGGACATGATAAAAGTGTATTAAAATAATGAATGCTCTCTAGAGAAGGTAGATCAGGCGCTTCAGGCATATTCAGTGTTCTAATTAATGACAAAAATTTGGCAGGTATTTAAGCATTGTGCTTCAGGGTCTAAGCCAATCACTATTAGAGATCAGGAGGAGGCCTATGTTCAGGTGCCACAAGTACTCCTGTTCTTCTTTTTGCGGATACAGACTAACACGGCTGTTACTCTGAAATATGTTCAGGTAGATTATTATACATTTGCAGTTGAAAAGTTCTCATACTTTTATTTGAAGCATTTGGTTCTGGCCACTGTCAGAGACAGCATACTGGGCTAGATGGACTGCTCATCTGTTCCAGTGTGGCAGTTTCTATGTTCCTGTGAGCTGTTTTTTAATCACTGGCCGCTAGTTGAAATGTTCTGTATACATACCCCACAGTCCAGAACTTTTTGAGGGAGCAGGAAACTGGCCAAGGTCTGGAGTCTAGTGCTTTGGTTAACCAAAGGTGCTGTTGCCATAAAAGCCTTTATTGTTTCTGCAACCTTCCCTCATTCTAAGAAAATTGTGCTTCTAGTGCTGCTTGTGTTCGCAACACCCTCCCAGTGGCCTTAACAGGAGCAGCAGTAGAGAGGGATAGGATCCTTGTCAAGCTCCTTCTGCTGGGGAAGCATTATGTACAGGTGCCCAGACACGAGTTCAGTCCTCGGCTGCTGAAGGGGATTGGGAATGCTGCTGTATGGTGGTGCTTCTCCTACATTACATTACTGTGACCTTTCACCCCCGGGATCCCTGCACATAGCACCTCATCCAGCAGGGTTAGTTGAGTGAAATTTATTAGGTCTGTGTCAGCAACTCCAGTTGTTGCCTCTGGGCAAATACTATGTGCTGTAGCTGAGACAGTGGTGTGATCCTGTGGAGAGTAAAATGGAATGGGAAAACAATGAAGGAGAAGTTTGTTGGGGTAAAAAATACCAAAGTAGAAGGAAGAAACGGCTTAGAAGGGTGAGTCTCCTGCAAATGTAGAGGAGAGGGGTAAATTGATCCAATGGCAGCACGTTGTGATTTGAGACAGATTTCCCACAGTACAGCGAACACCCTAATCCTTAAATTCCCTTCAGAAAATTGTTCCTAGTGAATGAGCAGGCTCATCCTGAACTCATCTCCTGATTGTTTCTTTTGTAATTCTAGGTGTCTGTGTAGCGGGATACGAGAACTCCAAAAAAAATGAAATTCTCCAGCTCCTGTTGCCTCAAAAACTGTATGTGAAAGAGAAGCAGGTGATGGTGACTAAGTGTGGTATTCATTTCAAATTCTTTATCTCCCCCAAATGTGTGCAGCCAGCAGGCATTTTACAGAAACCCGCAAAAAGACAGGGTCCACCCCCTGAAGAATTTATAGGCTGCATGTAGACATGACCTGGTTAGATACACAAGGTAGAACAAAAACAACAAGGAGTCTGGTGGCACCTTAAAGACTAACAGATTTATTTGGGCATAAGCTTTCATGAGTAAAAACCTCACTTCTTCGGATGCATAGAGTGAAAGTGAGGGGGAAAGGAATCCAGGAAAGCTTGCTGTATTTTAAAGAATCCTTATTGAGGCTGCAG